TGATTCAAATTTTTTTTGATAACCATATTTCTTTTGTAAATCAGTTTGAGAAGGTGAAAGTTGTTCTATGAAAGAATAATCACTTTGTTGTTGAATATCTTGTATATCTTCTATGCTAAATATTATTTTTGTGATGTTGCGTACGCCAATGCTCGTGGATTTTTGGCTCCATATCGTAACACAAGATATTGGTTGGCAGATTTTCGACGTCAACATGCTTTGACTAAAGAAGAAAGGTTTAATCATGCACATGCCCAACTCAGAAATGTTATTGAACGTGCTTACGGTGTCTTGAAAGCGAGATTTCCGATCTTGAAGCAGATGGCTCCCTTTCCATTTACAACACAAAGAAATGTGGTAATTGATTGCTTTGCAATACATAATTTCATCAGAAAATATAATATTCAAGACCAGTTGTTTATATAGTGCAATGAGGATAGTATATTTAACAACAAAGAAGAAGTCGAAGGAAATGGAGAAGAAGAACTGGACATTTCCCAATGGGGTGTTAAATAGCACTCAATATTGGCTACTTTGAGAGATGAAATTGCAAATAGTTTGGTCAATAATGTTTGAGCTTGGATTTTTGTGTTTGAGCTTGGATTTTTAAGTATTTTATGAATTTATGTTTTAATTTTTCGATGATATCAATGAATTTATGTCTTGATCTTTAGATGATATAAATGAATTTATAAAATTATGTTTGATATTTATATATTTTATTTTTTAGAAATATCATTTGCCTTAAAAAATGAACAACAATTTATTAAACAACGCGTAGTTCATCTTCAGGGGGTAAATTGGTCATTTCTGTTATTCAGACTTGATTCAGATAGAAAAGTAAACAGTAACATAAATTTATTCAGACAGACAAATTTATTCATACATGACTTAATAGAAAATTTGGTAAACAACCCCTTAGTTTGAACAAAAGATTAAAAGTATGCCAATTAATAATGCACAGGAGCTAAATTTCACTGAGTTTTTCAATGACAAAGGAATCATTCATCAAAGGTCATGTGTGGGACGACCAGAACAAAATTCTGTTGTTGAACGGAAACATCAACACATGTTGAATGTCGCAAGGTCGTTGGTGTTTCAATCGAAAGTTCCTATTGATTTTTGGTCCGAATGCATTCTAACAACCACTTTTCTCATTAATCGGACACCCTATGTAATACTCAAAGACAAATCTCCTTATGAACGATTGTACAACAAGCTTCTTGATTTCGCGGTGATCGACATAAATTTAGCCCATGGCTAATCTAGCCCTGCATAAATGCACTAAACATGTCGATCTCTACTACCATTTCATTCGTGAGAAAGTGGTCGATAAGGTGATTCGCTTGATGCTTATTGAATCGACTTATCAATTAACCGACGTGCTTACCAAGCCTCTTATCAAGATCTCAGTTCATTTTGCTGATTTCCAAGATGAACATGCGTAATCTTTGTTCACCTTTTTCATCTTGAGGGGAAGTATTAGAGTTAGCTTAAAGGTTTTTCTGGTAATTTGTTTTTTTTGTTCTGGATTGTTCTGTTAAGTTAGCCTCTAAAAATCTACTCATGGTCTCTCAACCTGGATAATCCTCCAACCTATCTCTAGAACCTGCCATTGAATAACAAAGGTAGTTGAGCAATAACTCAGTGAACAGATCAATGATATGAACAATAAGTGATTTAGGATAAACAATGAAATGATAAAAATCAATTGAATATCACAAGATATATAACAAGGGGGTTCATGTAATCACCTCATTTTGTGTTTCGTGTTATTCAAGTTCACATAAATCACCAAAATACACTAAACTCGTTGTTCCCAAATGATGTACGGTCCTATGGGCTCAAGGGAGTACTAGTATGGGCACGATACCACTAGCCCTCGAGCACTATTAAAGTAGCCCAAGTTCTATTTCGTTCCTAGGATATCCATCCGCCCCCATGGCTGGATCAGAGTCAGCGCACTCTCCACGCATACACGAGGACGCCATAATGATTATAGCCACCATGGAGACATCACAAAGTCGGTGCTCGCGACAAAATGTCTGGGTAAAGAATCACAACTATTGTGGTCTAATCGAATCACAAAAATAGATCAACAATCAATGAACAAGTCAATATGGCTTGACTATATCTAGTCGTTCTATTCTTAATTCGATCATCTCACTGAGTCAACAAATCATTTACATCACACTTATTCGCGCCTCAGCATTTGGAGTAAAACTCTAGAACCGGGCCAACGGTCCCTATTTCAGCCAACAAACTTTGGAACACTTCTAAGACGTGCTCAACTAATGGAACACCAAATGGAATTCAACAAAGGAATGACATGATGAAAATTCAATAAACAACATCATTGAGGTCTTTTCGTTCTCAAGTTTACCATTGGTTAAATCAATTTCGAATCGAATAACCCTTAAGAGTAGGTAATTTCTGAGTCAAGATAATGGGAGATTCGTACCTTTATACGACTTATAGGTCGCTTCTAAAGTTGCTTATACGAAACATTCTGGTGCACGTGTGTGTGTGTGTGGTGTCACCAAATTTCAACATCAAAATGAAGTTCTAGTTTACCAAAATTCTAATGATATATTTAAAGTAGATGGTGGTTGCGGAATATGAGAGAACGTAGAAGTTTATAACCCCTTGTCCAGTAACAATACTTACTGTCGAGTAATATGTCGAAGTGTCACGTGGTCATTTTGTCAAGACTCCGTAGTGACATGTAATTACTCACATCTTCATCAGAGTTTAACTTAGAAGAGTTTGTTTTTTAGCACTTGATATTCGGTGATAAAGATGTTTTTAGTCTTCACTTGGCTTTAGTGTTGCCTTTCAATTCCTCATAGTTCTAAAGACTACTCTTTAGAGTTTTAGCCATTAGAGTCAGCCATCCTTGGCTATTGAGTTTTCGCCGAACGACTTCATCAGATCTATGTCACTTCTAAGTCCGATCAATCTACTTGGTCATAGTACTACTTGAATTAGGGGTTGTTCGGTAACAACTTAATGAGCTGTATAGCAGATATGGCTGATTCCCACAACCATATCTATGTGTTCGGTAAGAGCTTAATCGCTCTGACAAGAGCTGAATCGACCAGCCACAAAACCATTGTCCTATCTACTCAGCCAATTAATTATATTTACTTTCCCCATCTACCCCTCTCCCTAACTAATAGCACTCACCATTAATCAAAGAACCCTAGTTGCTCCAGCTGCTTCTTCTGCCCCAGGACTGCTTCTACTCCATCGTTTTCTTCATCGATCTTCTGCTCCAGGACTTCTTCTGCTTCCACATCAAGGTATTTCTTTTTCTTCATCGATTTTCTGCTCCATCTGTATTTTGACTGTTTTGGATGAACTATCGATTTTCTGCTCCAACGATTTTGACTGCTTCTACTCCATTGATTTGACTGCTTCTACTCCATTGATTTGACTGCTTGTACTCCATTGTTCCCCACCGTCTCTCTCAGCTTTTTTCGATTTTGACTGCTTCTACCCAATTTTTATAAAAAAACCCATTTCCCCAATGTTAATGTATAGGAAGATGTTAATTTAATTTTATGAAAATTAACTTCTTTAATTCCCTTTTCAGGCTTTCATTCTTTATGGGTATTTTATGTTTCATTTTTTATTAGGTTCATGTTGATTTCTGGGTGATGTTTGTTTCCCATTAGAAAGGATTGGGGTAAAATGTCTTTTCTGACATTCAGACTGTTTATTCAGCACAACAAACAAACAACAACTTATTTGTTAACAGACAGACAACTATATCCATACAGGTCTTAACAGAAAACGAACCGAACAACCCCTTAGTATTGCATTAGTCTAAGGCCTTTTTTTTTAAAGACTCTTATTAGCCTCTTATGTATGATTCGTTAATATATGTAGGGTTATTAAGACTGTTTGATTTTCAATTTTTTAGAGACACTTATATCTTATTGTCATCTTATTTAGTAAAGGTAAATCAAACTCTTATTTGCCTCTTATTATTCTCCACATCTTTAACAACGATGTTTCTCAATTAACTTTAGTCATTCATTTCTCTCAATCGATCATTACCAAATCGATCCTCACATCTGATAACTGGTATATTTAATATGATTTAAATGTGTTAAAAACCGTTAATGACATATTCTCGTTTAAATGAATGCTAATTATATAATTTAAATATAAATTTTGTAATGATGATAATAAATATGTGAAATTATATAAATTTATCTATAAATTCGACTTTATAATTTTTAAATCAGTAAAATAGATAATTTAAACATTTATTAGTTTAAAAAACAAATAATTATTCTTTTGTTATTTCCCAGCAAAAGTGGTAGATATTTTCCGCTTCCGCCATGTGTGGTCTGTATTTATCCTTCAAACGTTTGATAAATAAATTTACACAATATAGCTTTCAACAGCTCCAAGTTAAGTTCTGATCTTCATACTGCAATTAACAAAAATGGAGTGTTGTTATAATCCCATAACAAACACACCATTCTCTTCTTTCAAGTCTCACAATCGTCAGGTAAAACCCCTGATTACTTCATTTATTTTCAACTCATGTCTGTTTACGACTGTTTTTTGGATAAATTTTGGTTTTCCTGCATATGAGATGTTCGTCAAGGTGTAGGTTACCCCTTTTTGTTACGTTTGGCTTCAGCCCTACCGAAGCAGACGAGCAAATGGTGCACCCTTTACGCACGAGACGTCATTTGTCGCTTATTTTATGGTTTCAAGGCGTAATTCTAGATATTGTGTCTGAACATCTTGACTCTTGAGTATTTTGATTTAGGAACTTGAATTCGTGTTATTGGAATTGGAATTGAAATTTGAATTGGCATTGGAATTGGAATTGGTGAATGGAGCGAAATTGTTCCAAAGATTGAACCAATCTGACTCTGTTTCCAAATCTCAAATGCCATGCTTAAAAAACACCACGTAGGTGGATTATGGATGATGTTTATTGATGCTTAAAAGTTTCTGGGGTTCTAGTATTTGGTGTTAATTAATAACAATTAGTGAAAGTTGCATCTTATTTAAGAGAGAGACATGTTGATTTTGAAGGTCATATATCACTTTTCATGTTCAAAGTTGATTGAATGTAGTTCTTGTTAGTTTTCAAACTCTGAAGAAAATCCAAAGCATTCTTGCTTGTTTTGTAAGTTGAATACAATTGTTTGACCTCAAAACTTAAACCAGGCCTTTGCTTTTGGAACAGAAGTATGCTCAAATTTTAACACTTCCCTTGGTTTCATTCTTGCTTTGTGATTTATGACCATCACTTACAAACTACCTTTGCTTCTCTATCGCCACTAGTGAGTCCTGATCCTACCCAAACCATGTCACTAAGATTTCGTATGTGGAGTTACACTTAAATAAATAAGAAAACTAGCAGTTTTTTTGTTAATCGTGCGTGTCCAGGCTAGCTTCATGTGGGGCCCGAAGTTAACACTCCAGAAAATCTCTGGTGGCCCTGACTCTGAGGAGACTCGAAGTAGCATTTAGATGTTTGATAACTGTTAGTGTTTGGGCCGGCTTGCGCTCACCCTAATCCCATGCGGGCCCAGAAGATAACTGCGAGTCAAACCTCCAGTGGCCCGGAGGGGACTTGAACCGGTGACAATGTGAGCAAACTCAAGGCCTGACTAGTTGAGCTTTAACTAGCATTTACATTTGTTAGTGTCATAACTATAGTGACTTATGTTATGCATCTAATACATCAAGCTATAGCCCAAAAATTGTTTTATGTCACAAAGCCATGACAAATGTTGAAAATACTGATTTGCAGAGCGTTTCATCTTCTCTTGGTACAAGATTTTCTAGGAGTAGGTTGTCATCTGGACTTTCTAATCCATTTCTTAAAGTAAATGACAGAGTTAAGTCCATTACTCATCATCATAATACATATGGTTTGAGTACCTACAAGAGGACCATATATGCAGAATCTAGAAATCAAGGCTGGGATTTTGGCAGATTTGTGAAGACATTGTACTTCTTTAATGGACCTCCGTCACCAATTAAGGTTCGACTCATCCTTCATTTGTTTTTTAATGGGAAAACCCTGTTCCTAGTAAGGGGCTGTTTACTAAACACTTACCGCCTCTTACTAAACAAGTATTGCCTCTTACCGGGTAAGAGACACTTCGTTAGAGATGTGATCTGTACCAACAATCTTATTCTCCATTTTGCAAACCGAGAACTTACCCCCTGTCAGGGTGGTGACTCTTACCCGGTTAGCACTTACCGGGTAAGAGACACTTATACTATACTATTTGGATGACCAAGTAACTTACCCGGTAAGGTAAGCGAGTGTGATGACTCTTACCCAGTTTGTACTAATAAAAGACCCCTAATATTCTTACATTTTTTGGTCTTTTTGTTTGTTTCATGGGCAGATCTTTGAAAGCCTAATAGCGAATCTTTCTGGTCCATCATCTAGTGAACCTGAAAAATCTATGGATTCTTCTGGAATAGTGTTAGTGGCTGGTGCCACCGGTGGTGTTGGTAGAAGAGTAGTTGATATCTTACGGAAGAAGGGGTTACCCGTTAGAGTATTGGTACATTGCTGATAATTCATATCGTGTTAGATATTGTTTCTTCTTTCGTTGTCATGAATCTATTTGAACTTATATCATGCATCTTGCAGGTCAGAAATGAAGAAAAAGCTAGAAAAATGCTAGGCCCAGATGTTGACTTGGTGAGTTGAAATAATATCCTAACTTTTTCACAAGATTTCAAAACTTTATTGCTCCCTCCATCCCAAAATAAATGTCTACAATTGAAAGATATGAAGTTTTAGAACTATGTAACTATTACACTTTTTAATCAACTAAGTGTCAATTTTACCCTTAATAATAGAGGAGTCATGAATTTTCTCCATCTCATAGTTAAGGGTAAAACTGGGTAGGCATTCACTTTTGAAAGTGGACACTTATTTTGAGACAAACTAAAAGAAGAAATGTGGACACTGGAGTAATATTTTTTTTTCATAAAATTCTTTCAGGTTATTGGAGATATTACCCAAGCAAGCACTCTACTTCCTGATTACTTCAAAGGGGTTAAGAAAGTGATTAATGCAGTTTCGGTTATCGTTGGTCCAAAAGAAGGAGATACTCCTGATCGGGCCAAATACAGCCAAGTAACTTCCAAAATTTGTTTTCTTTTATGGTATATATATCATATATTTGGGTTGATCATACACAGTAATGACACAAAAATATGATATTTTTCAGGGGATCAAATTCTTTGAACCAGAGGTGAAGTGCTCATTCTCAGCAATTTTTTGAGTTGGATTTCCATTTCTTTGTTTTGCAAAGTTATTTGATCTTATGTACATGTTGACCTGATATTGTCTGATTGATGCAAGCAGATTAAGGGGGCTTCACCTGAAATGGTGGAGTATATCGGAATGCAAAATCTGATAAAGGGACTAAAGGATAGTGTCGGACTTAAAAATGGAAAATTAGTGTTCGGATTTACAGGTACACACTTGAATGAAGTTCATATTCTCAACAACTTCCGTTCCATTTTTAGAGATGCATTTGAATATTTATATTATGAATTTTGCTATTCACCCAATCCCCAAATTAGTTGGAAATAAAACTATTTCAACATAGGCAAGTATCTAAATATATTTCGAATGACAAGATAGGTGGAATTATGTTAAATTGAATCAATATTTTGGAATGATAAACCGTAGGAACATACAAGTTTAGCCCTTTAAATTTTGCTAAAAAAGGAAACATTGCAGTTAATTTGGGGCATCTCAGAATGGAAAATGCTTGGGGCTGAGTGAGTGTTACATTTTGGTAGTAAGTTATGTGTCATTACTCATTAACATTATCATTAAGACCTGGTTTTCTCCCCGTCGGTCACCAATTCAAGTCCCCGTACAAGCCACTAAAGGTTTGTCTTGCTATTAACTTCTGGGCCCCATGGGATTAGTTACTAGTCAGATTGGACACCCAGAGTTATCCAAAATATCCATCACTTTCGTCCGACACTAAAATATGTGTATTACTTTTAGATCCTGCACTTGTTTTACCAACAAAATCAAAATGGATATCTAGTTTCGAAGCAAAGGAAGTAGCTTCCATAATTTGTTTCTTTAAATACCTACTTGAGGACGATATTTCTTTTTTACAGATGGTTCATCCAGAGACCTGCCTTGGGGTGCCTTAGATGATGTTGTGATGGGAGGAGTTAGTGAAAGTTCATTCCAAATAGTCCCGAACGGCAGTGAAAATGGTGGACCAACGGGTCTTTTTAAAGGTTTGTCAAAACAAAATTAATTTTCAACTGGAATTACAAATGATAGATCGCGCTCTACTCTTTGTGGTAGATGTCAGATTTGCATATATCTTACCTTCCCCGGACCCCACCTCCGGGTAGCAATATACTGGTTTGGTTAACCACAAATGCTAGATTGACTAATTAAGTTTCCAACCATCTAACATCGTCTTTCATTCTGTGAATATATGTGGAACCTCTAGATTTACTCTCTAAGAGAGCCCTTGAGGAGAGATGGGAGGTTCCAACATATATTGAGGTAAAATGGTCCAAGTCTAATCCAAGTGGGACCCTAACACGCCCCCTCCATCAAAGGCTAGACGGGCACTAATTCTCCCCGAGTGTTTAGAAGGGGATAGAAAAGTGACACAAATAGACGATTAGATTGCCCCAGAGTGAAGTCTCTAGAGTGGTAAAATTGGCTCGAATACCATGTGAGAATATGTGGAACCCCCATATTTTCTCTCCAAAAGACGGAGAATGGAGGCTTCAACATATATTGAGGAGAAATGGTCCAAGTCTAATCCATGTGGGACTCTAACACACCCTCCAACAGAAGCTTGACAGGCATAAATTGTCCCCAATTGTTGAGAAGGGGTTAGACAGGTGACGCAGCTAGCCGGGTAGATTGCCCCCCAGAGTGAAGTCTCTAGAGTGGTAAAATTGGCTCGAATACGATGTGAGGATATGTGGAACCCCCACATTTACTCTCCGAATGAGCCATTAAGGAATATGGAGGTTCCAACATATATTGAGGAGAAATGGTCCAAGTCTAGCCCCATAGTGAAGTCTCTAGAGGAGAAGGGAGTCTAACACGCTACAGGCAACTATCGGTTCTCATGAGAAGGAATGGTTTTTGGAAAAATGATAGAAAGGTAATTGCAAAGAATCTTCATACTTGGCCCTTCTTGTTCAAAACCGCTCATTCTCACGAGCATAGAGTTCTTTTTATTTTATTTTCTTCTTTTTGCAATAAAATAGAAATAAAAGTGGTTTGTTTGACCATGTCTAGTAAACCAAACAGACCCGGCCATCTGAGGTAGGGCCTTGGAGGGTAAGATGTACATAGACCTTACCTCTTTCCCACGAGACAGGCTTGACCAACGTTTAGTACTGTTATTGAAAACACTCTTTCTTCATATAATTACTTGTAGGTGTTGTTTCCACCACAAACAATGGGGGTTTTACCAGTATTAGGACGAAGGTGAGATGGGCCCCACATCACTTACTCGTCATTAAGCAATTATATCATGATTTCTCTTGACCAGAAGTTCTTTGTAGAATTTTGATGTTGCAGAAAATCTGTCTGCATATGATGGTTTGGAGTTGCGCCTTAATGGTGATGGCCGTCGTTATAAACTTATTATTCGCACTAGCCGTGATTGGGATACTGTAGGTTATACCATAGGTTTCGACACCGCAAAAGACCAATGGCAATCAGTAAGTGACACATTAAGTTCCTTTCGGTAACTATTTTAATTATTATTTGAAAATATATATATGATTTAACTTTCAGGTACGAGTGCCTTTTTCTTCTTTAAGACCGATATTTCGGGCGAAAACAGTAGCAAATGCCGTGCCCTTTGACCCAAGTCAAATCATATCATTACAGGCATATGCTTCCTAACTATTCTTCTGTAACTTTTCTCATTCTTTCTTTGGATTGCATCTTCTAAACATTAAAATTTTTGCAGCTAATGTTCAGCAAGTTTGAATACGATGGGAAACTTAATCCGACCTTTGTTGAAGGTCCCTTTCAGCTTCCTGTATCAAGCATACGTGCATATATAGCAGATCCCATAACTCCAAGGTTCAAACTATATTTTCAATATTCGGGTTTATAGGAGGCCAAAAATGTTGAAGTGTCCTACTAGACTGCTTTATAGGACTTAAGTCTATATGACCAAACACTTGTGTGTTGTATGTAAAACTGTTGCAATAAGGGACGCTTTTGGGCGTCTTAACAAGTTTTTTAGGACAACTTTGAAATAAATTGTCCCATTAAATTATGACACTATTTGAAAAAGCGTCTTATAAAAACAAGTGTCCTATAAAAAAAGTTTGTTCATAGGACACTTGTCTAAACTGTACTATAAAAAAAGCTAATAGGATATTTTGTTTCAAATATATTCTAAAGAATTGTTAAGATGCCCGAAGGCGTCATATAAACTTATTGTAGCACTTTTTTCATAGGTAAAGCAGTCTATTACGACACAGACGATTTAGCGTCCTATAAACCTGATTTTGTTGTAGTGCTTTCTATTAGTTTTTATGAATGGTTAGTTATGGGATGACCTTTCTTGTGATAATTTCGTGTTCATCACCTCTATGATTGCACAGATTCGTGCACGTGGGATCTGCCGGGGTTACAAGACCTGAAAGACCTGGACTTGATCTAAGTAAACAACCACCTGCTGTTAGATTGAACAAAGAACTGGGATCTATTCTAACATTCAAGTTGAAGGTTTCTATAAACATTTTCTTTTGCATGAAATTTGTGGGGAACATTATGGAATGTGTTATTTTTGGCTTGCATAAACTGTGGTTAACATGGGTAAATTGGTCTTTTGACAGGGCGAAGATTTGATAAGGGAAAGTGGGATTCCGTATGCGATAGTTAGGCCTTGTGCACTAACTGAAGAACCTGCAGGAGCAGATCTCATCTTCGATCAAGGAGACAACATCACGGTAAGTCGGCCTTAGTATTTCCTGTATGCCAACCTTAGCTTTAGAGCAACTCAAAACAGATTCTCTATAATTTCTGTAAAATAGAGTAGCGAAAGTCAAAATCTCTAAAAAAATTACAAACTCAAGCAAATTCTCGATGTTGGAGATTTCAACATTAGTTGTATCATTAAAATACTCTATAAATTTATGATCCCAATAAACTTTTAAATTTTTTATATATAATAATAATCATTCAGCCTTATTGGTGGAAACAATAAAAAAAGCAGTTACTTTCTTAAACATTTAAATTTAGCGAGTTCTCCAAATTTGGATATTTTTATATTCTCTCTCCTATTTTCTCCATTTTAGAAAATCTGTTGGAGCAAAAAACGTAGCCTAAAATCTTCATTTTAAGAATCTGTCAACAACTTGCTTTTACTGTTTGCCAGACAGAGTTCCAGAGGTCTTCAGGTAAACAGACTCTCTACCCCTTGGGGTATAGGTATTGTCTGTATAAAATATGGAATATACTGGGTTTGTTTGGTTATGGTAGTGAGTTTGGTGACGGGTTATTTTTGTTAGTTCTCTATGAATCTTAGTAGATGCGGCTTACGCAGGGGAAGATATCGAGAGAAGAAGTTGCTAAAATTTGTGTTGCTGCTCTCGAAAGCCCGAATGCATGTGACAAGACCTTTGAGGTTTTATTCTTATTACCTTCAATTCTCTTGCCTAGCTGACTTTTACAGTTGAACATTTCATTTTTGAAATTCAATATTCATTTAATTTTTGCTATATTTTGACGATTGAAAACATTTTTTACCGCAAGTTCCTTAAACAATTGAGCATAGTATCCTCATAGATCTTCATAAATCCATGTCATTTTCCGATTCAAAACGTTTACCTTAGACCAAAAGTCAAAATGCATCATAGTTTTGATAACCGTGGGTAGCTGGTCTAGTTTGCATGCATCTTTGGGCCCTCAAGTTAACGGCCAGACAATGGCTTGAGGGGACTTGAACTGGTGACCTCTGGGGAGTAAATCCAATGTGTTACTGGTTGAGTTATCTCCAAAGGATTAAAATGTAGGGAAAATCACCAAATTAGCCGGTTTTGCCTAATAATTTCACCAAACAGACGTTTTTTAAACATTACCAGTAAATCGGCAAATTGGTAGGGCAAATCTTTGCAAAGCATGCCCATAAAGCAAATCTCCCGTTTTTCGGCTGAGATATGGCCCCATCATCCGACAAAAAGTGTCCTAAAAAGTAAATCCGCAAATTTGTGGATTAACAAGCTATTTCGTGATAATTTGTAAAAAAATGCGCTATTTGGTGAATTTTTCAGCTAAAAATGGCTACGTGATTTTCCCTCGGTTCTTACTCGCTATGCGTCCAAGAACAGCTGTATCAACATATTTTTCTTTAATCGGCTGCAGGTGAAGTGTGTGGTTCCGTTTAGCGAACAATACACAATAGATCCCGAAAACCCGCCACCTGAAAAAGACTACGATGAATACTTCAAATCGTTAAAAGATGGCATTACAGGAAAAGAAATCTTGGAAAAAACACCTGTTTCTGTCTAAACAAACACAACTGTAAGTAATCCTTCATACGTATATTTGTGAAACGGGTATGTTTCATTTGTTATAATTGTTCGTTCTTGTGTATCAGTTGGCGATTCATGCCAGTATTCCGAACTCTTCGTGTGAAGCAGATCGGAAGATAGATCATATCGTACGTAAAATTCATATACATCCCTATTGGGCAATATAGAAATGATTAGCAAAAAGGCATATATATGATATATGCATATACTAGTTGTGTACTTGTGCAATGCAGCATAATATAAAATCTTATTTTAAAACGAGAATGGAAAAACAATCCAAACTCCTTGGGTTCTCACAATCTTATACTTGTTCTGATTGATTCCAATATCAGATATTCTAAACCTTATTGATTTCATGTATGAAAGGAGGAAGATGCCAGTTGGGTTCATCCGTTGACATTTGTCATATGTGAACGGTTGTACACTCTGGTCAGGATGTGAACATTGTAATTGGATTGTGATCATTGTTTTGACGTATGAACCGACTGTTTTCACGTGTGAACGGACTGTTCATGCTAACCCTCACGTCTTCAGTTTCACACATAACATAAGACTCGGCCAAATCAAAAACATGTTCAGGCAAGGAAAATGGGAGTTAACATCACCTAGCATATAAACTCGGTCATGCATGCAGTTTTATATGAACATGTGAATCAAAACTACCTTTTCACCCATCAAACTAAATTGGGCTCGTATTAAAAATTAAACAAAAAAGCTACCAATACAATATATATATATATATAACGCAACACATCGTAATAAACATAATTTCGATTAAAACGAATATAATAAAATATTAATCCATTACCAAGACACTCAATTTGATTATTTTCTTCACTTCCCGATCTCGAACTTCGACTGTCGTCATAAACAATTTTAACCTTCTCAATGTTGTCGTGTTGTTTTCCAACGTCTTTATCCATGGTTGCTTAAACGATAACAAACATTTTACTACCGGGTCTCCTCCTCAAATTATATATATTATAATGAAATTATGATACTCAACTCTTAACCAAATCATTAAAAATCTGATAAATTAAGAACAACATTAAGAAGGCAAAAAATCATAGGATTTCATGATCATGTAACCTCCAATTAATGATATAGGAGTTATATAAAAAGAAAATTACAAACATACCCTTAACATTAATTTCTTGGATGGTGTTGAACCTCGTACTATAATGGATTGTGATTGATCTAAAAAGTTCATAAAGTTAATACATTTTTTGGGTTAACACATAACATAACGAATTGTGTTAATTGGTTAATGCTTATTTTATTCGTGTGCACATGCGATCAGAATTACTGACTACATACTATAAGAGCCTTGAACGTCGATGAAAAATGCGCAAACATTTGTTGAACAGTGCATGAACGATGTTGAATGTTGTGATATTACGAATTATAAAATTAAAAGAAAACACCAACACCGCATTGTTTTACAGTTTCATCAATACACAAATCAACGTAATACTAGATGAGACATTTGTCATTTTCAAGTTTTCCGATAGATGGATTCGTTTCAATCTAATTATGAAATGATTTCACTGTTTGCTAATTAAACAACATGTTCTTAACAATTATGGAATGGTTTCTATGTCGTTATGCACCCATTTCATCGACAAAGTTTTTGCAATCCGAACACGGTTCATAGTTTCATCAATACACTAATCAACGTAATGCTAGATGAGACATTTGTCATTTTCATGTTATTGGTAGATGGATCCGTTTCATTGTGATAATGAAATTGTTTCATTGTTCGCTAATTACACGACATTTTCTTAATAATTATGAAATGGTTTCACTTGCTTTATGCACCCATTTCATCGGCAAATTTTTTTCCAATCCGAACACGTTTCATAGAGTCATTGCATTTACCATTGCATGCTTTGTTAACCATTAAGTGAACAAAATCATCTAAAAAAATTAAAACAAAATGAAACAATTTCATCAAATAATTGTTGATAAGAAAACAAGATTATCCAAAAATATTATATTACGCAACCAGTTTATCCCAAAAGTTTCATAAAATAAGCTCCTCAATGAACATTTTCACGAACCAATCTGCATATGTTTCATAAAATAAGCTCATCAATGAACGTTTTCACAAACCAATTTAAACATGAATCTGTTTTACAGATGATTATATTTTTACTGGTTCATAAATCTTTGTTAGGATTTGTTACTGATTTCGTGGATCAATGAATATAATAATTTTCGATTTTCATATTCTTACTACTAATAAACCTAGAAAACAAATAACCATATTTAATTTTTAAAATACTAGATTAAATAAACATTTAAATATTACCATTTCTAACATTTTCTTTATTACGTTACTTTAATTAAGATATCTAGATTTTTTTAGACCGGTTTATGCCGTTGATACCTTTGAGAAATATACGACAAACAAAGTCAAAACTTGTGAATTCATACATGTAAACATTTTCTTTTTGATTTTTCCAAACGTTTTGAAAGATAAACCATTCTTGTTAGCATCGGCAGCCATTCTTGATTCAAGATTCTCGCAATTCCACAACTACAAAGTCGGTACCTTTTTTTTCCCGTTTATCTTCGTGGTGTTTTCCATTTCGAAGCCCAGAGAAACGGGTCAAATACACCCACAAACCAAAAGCAAAAAAAAAAAAAAAAGCGTGTGAGAGAGAAAGAGAAGGGGGAAGTGAAACACCAAAAAAAAGTAGAGGGATCTGTAATTTCTACACGAATCTGAAGTTAGTTTTTGAGAAGATTGTGTATTCTACTGAAAAAGATGTCTGCATACAGAGCTGAGGATGACTACGATTACCTTTTCAAGGTAGTTCTGATTGGGGATTCCGGTGTTGGAAAATCGAACTTGCTTTCGAGATTCACTAGGAATGAGTTTAGCCTCGAGTCCAAATCAACAATTGGTGTTGAATTCGCTACGAGAAGCTTGAATGTCGATAGCAAGGTCATCAAGGCTCAGATTTGGGACACTGCTGGTCAAGAAAGGTAAGTTTCGCATCTCGATATTTCTCTCTTCTTTCTACTTAGATCTTGCAGTTACAGCTTTTTGTTTTTTGTTTGTGATTTATGATTTTGGGGTTTCTTTCAATTTTGGATTTGATCTATCTGGCACTTTTGATGAAGGTGGGTAGGGTTTAATCAGTGTAGATTAGATTGCTAGACGTGATGAACATCTTGAAGATCTGTTACAAGTCTATTCCTGTATGATTTCAGTCGTAAATTAGTTGAGTTTGATTGGCCTGCAAGAAGAACCTCCTTTTAGGTATCCATTGTTGCATACATTTGGAATGAAAACATTGTACAAGGCCTTGAATCTCATGTAAAACTTAATAACTTAACACACTACAATGAGATTGGGTTTTAACACTTTTACAGGGGACACACAACTTTTTTGTCCTATAAAACAATCTATTAGGACTTTTAGACATTTTTTGCATCCTATAAACCCGATTTTGTAGTGACATCAGCAAATGATTGAACATAACCCAATACAACCAAATGTCTTTGATGTTCGTTGCAGTTCCGTGGGGATGTAAATGGGTATCTGAAAATCTGATTTCCTGCTGCATCCGTTTTGGTTTAAAAGGCGAATATATTTTTATGTATAAACTATGGTATATTTGTTCATATATTATATGCATGTGGGTATGGTAATTGTGTATTTGATTAAATTAACTTACTATTATCCACGGATGTTGTGTGAGCATATTTGATTCATTTAACATTTTTACACCGTTATAGTTTTGTGTTTCTTAAGGGAATTAAGTGTTCATGAGAGTTTGTTTTTGAAACACATGGAAAAACACCTAAAGGGTGGAACTTCTGGCACCACGGCAAAGTCCTAGTGAGGCTGAAACCAATATCTAATAAGTAATTACAAAGTTTTGTACCTTAGTGTATTTTCTCTCTTTATTTTTTGTTGCTACTCGTAAATAATAAGGAATTTGGTAGAATAAACGATAGAAGAAAGGAATATACCTCCAAAATTGAGATTAAAGTTAAAAAAGGAAAATGCTTACGCTTCCTAAGTCTTTAGCTCTCTCTATATATATATATATCGAGAGAGATTGTGCATTTAACTTCGTATGGAATTTTTTCTTGTTAACCATGGGCATCCCACCCCTCGACTAATCCCATGGGGCCTGAAAATAACGAGGAAAGTCCCTAGTGGCCATGAGGAGACTCGAACTAACAGCGTATAAATTTGTGTGGACCTCTGAATCTTAATGAATATGAATAACAATATTCAAAATCGTTTTTGATTCTTGGAGCCTTCAACTCTTTATTGCGATATAGTGAACGATGAAAGTACTTGCAAGAGCTTTAATAGGGTCTTGAACCAATAAAGGTGGTGTTAAGCAAGGCTTTAGGTGTTGTGGAGTTCAGATTGAGTATGCAATTGGTCTAGGTGTTGGAGTTGGGTTATGTACTTAAGGTTGGAAGAAGTTAGAAGTAAGGTTGTGTATTGAAACATAGAACTCTATGGAATCGGAATTTTTATTATTTATTCGAGGGACAAAGCCCAAAAAGGCAAGAAATTGCATTAAAACAAAATTGAGGGTGCATAAACCTTTGAAGAGATCTCCAGAAAGATAAATATTCAAGAACTTCTGGGCCAGAATATAATAAGGGGCTGTTTGGTTGGTTTTGCATCAAGTCCTGTATGTATAAAACTGTTTGTATGGCTTAATCTGTCTGTAAAGATTGGGATGGTTTTTGTTTGGGAGGGTTTTTCATAGATGCAAGGAACAAGTTTTTTAATTAGGAGGGGTAGGTTTGGGAATAACTTGGCTTTCTGCATAAAAGCTCCCCCGTAAAAGCTTACTGAGTAAACCGCTTTCTATATCATTAAGCCACTACCAAACAGTCGTGTATAGCTGACCAAATAAGTTGTGAGTCGTATTAAGCTGATTACGCTGCTAACAAACAGACCCTAAGCTAGAAAGTTATATAAACATACTTAAAATGCTACATCCTGCTTCAATTGGACAGCAACAGTTGGCAAAAACTAACGAAGGTCATGCCATGTTATGTTATCCAATGAAATAAGACCATAGTTAACAAAAAGCAAACACTGGCTGAATATCTTCACATCTTTGGTACCAATCTCTTGCAATCTACAACTAAAATAATGATTGTCCATTGTGATGTCTACAGAGTTACGATCCTTGTAAATGCATGTGAATCAAACTATGCCCATCACACATCATGTTAGGCTGGCGTAAGCACGATTAGGTGCTTTTGAACAGTAGAAACAAAGAAAAATCATGAAAAATAGGAAGAAAGTTTCAAACATTTGAACCCAAGTAGTTCGAACCAAACCGAAACCAAAGTAATTATGTCTAGATAAATAGATATAAATTTTTGCATATGAAGTCGAGATAGACTTGTTGGAGGTGGAGAAAAGGTAGACTTGTTAGCTAACACTAGGAAACGTTACTCTACGAAATTGTGAAGAAGCATACAAAAATCAAAATTGGAATGTGAAACATGGGGATGCGTCTTTACTGTCTCCATAAGATGTGAAACATGGGGATGCGTCTTTACTGTATCTCTACTAATGGTATGGCGGTGTTCCTCAGTAATCATTGTATAGGAGCTTTTTGGGCATTTTGGTTGATAGAAGGGCTCATAGCTTTCTAGTTGTGAGAGAACGTTAACACTAATACTTACATAACATTCTATAATGGTAATGTGTTAACTTCATAAATGTTCCCACAACAAATGGGCAGGTCAATTGAAAATTGTTGAGGCGTGGGTGAAGCAAAAAGATTTAGGCTGTCATTGTATAGTGTTAGGAATTGATAATTGAAACATAGAGGTTGGAATTTTCACATGGTTATAAATGCCCATTGAGGCATAACTTTGGTGCCAATTAGTTTTGGTGCACCTCTAAGATGCAACTGTGAGGTGTGCAAGGTGTGAAGTTCATCAATACCATATGCTTCAATGGTTCGAGCCATTTTTAAATAAACCAAAGCAAAATAAACAAACGTATATATCCCACTAAGAGGTAGCGTCTGGGGATAAGATGTACGTAGACCTTACCTCTGTTCCAGGAGACAGAGAGGCTGTTTCAGACGAGACCCCTGGCTTGCAAGAAAGGTTTAGTAAAAGATATGGGAAGCAGAACTATAATCATAAGCCATAAATTTAAAGCCACCTGGAGGCAGGGTCTCTGGGGTAAGATGTATGGAGACCTTGCCTCTGTCCATAAACTTACTGTAACACTTTTACATACGATGCATAATTGTTTCGTTAAACTTGAGTAATATAAAGCAGTCTGTTAGGACATTTAGATATTTTTGTCACCTTTTCAAATCATGTCATATGAAAAAGATTATTAGGATGTTTTATTTCAACAATGTTCTAAAAGAATATGATAAGAGGCCTAAAAACGTTCTATAAGAGTAATTTTTCTCCCTTCCCATGTATATGCATAGGTATCGTGCAATTACTAGCGCCTACTATCGAGGAGCAGTTGGAGCACTTCTTGTGTTCGATGTCACAAGGCACGCCACATTTGAAAACGTTGAGCGGTGGTTAAAGGAACTGAGGGATCACACTGATCCAAATATCGTGGTCATGCTTATCGGCAATAAATCAGACCTTCGACACTTGGTGGCCGTGTCAACCGACGATGGAAAATCTTTTGCCGAAAGAGAATCCCTTTACTTCATGGAAACGTCCGCTCTAGATGCTACGAACGTGGAGAGCGCTTTTGCCGAAGTCCTGACTCAAATCTACCGGATCGTTAGCAAAAAAGCCATGGATGCTGCTGAAGATTTGAATGTTCCGTCGAAAGGTGAGAAAATCGATGTGGGTAAAGAGGTTTCTGCTATGAAATCAGTTGGATGCTGTTCATCTTGAAGTAAGATTAAGGTGTTTGAATTAGACTCAGAGATGATTGATGTGGGTTTACATCTGTTTTTAAGATGTATCTGTGTCATTGTGCAACTTTTAGCCTATATTTGATGGGCAGGGGTACAAAATCTATTGTGTTATTTTTGGATTCAATTAAGACTAAACAACTTGCTTACCCACTATTGTTTATGCTATATATAGTTGTAGTTTGGGGGCTGTTTGGCAATTGCTGAATGGTTTGGTGCAGAATGATTAAGAGGCTCTCATGATATATAGTGTAAAATGAAATATAATTGTTTGGTAATTGTGTACAATGAAATTAGGGCTCTTAATGGTTAAGGGAGATCCATGATACAAAATCATTCAGAGGGTTTTGGAACTATTAAGAGACACTTTTTTTTTTGCCAAACAAGATTCATCTCTTAACGATTCAGAGGTTGCCTCTTAATTGAACTATTAAGAGGTAAACAAACAACCCCTATAAATGCTCAGTCGAGTCGAATAACACGTTATTCGAGCTCGACTTGAAAGGTAGAGGTAGATTTTTCTTTTGCAAAGTAGCGATCGTGCTCGGGCTAGGGCTAGAATGTTTGAGTTTGATGTTTGTTCTATAACAAAAATATGTTTACAAGACGTCAAGAATGTCTAATTGTCCTAATAGACTGCTTTATGGGAGCAAATGATAAAGTGTTGTAATAAGTTTATAGAATGATTTTAGGCGTGTTAGCAAGATTTTTAAGATATTGTTAAAAATAAAACATCGTATTAGCTATTTTATATGATACATTATGAAAGTGTCATATTAAAATATTGTGTTTATAGGACACTTTTCAAATGTGTCTTGTAAAATAGCTAAGATGAAGCTATATCTTAAAAATGTCCTGATCTTTTTGTTAAAACGCTTAAAATACAACTTATTACAACACATTTAGATATGATGTTTTGTTGTTTTTGGTCCTATAAACTTAAGTTCTATATAACAGTCTATTATGACACTTAAGGGCCGTTTACCAAACGCTTATCCGGGTAAGCGCTTACCATGTCACAATACTTACCGGATGAATATGGTAAGGACCAAGAATCATACCCGGTAAAAGCGAGGCAGGGACCAAGAGTCTTACCCGGTAAGTGAGTGCGACGACTCTTACAACGGTTAGCGCTTACCGGGTAAATTGTTGCATACAATGCCGTTTTAGTAGACTAAAATCTTACCCGGTAAGTAAGTGATAATATTGAATTTTATCGGTAAATTCTTACTGAGTAAGTGTTCATTAAATGGCCCCTTAGACATTGTTAGCGAATAAACCCGATTTTGTTGTAGTGTCTCGAGCTCGAATAGTTTGTTAAAAGCTCGAATCGCTAATTATACCCCGTTTGAATTGAGGGATGAGCATGGATTTTAGGAGGCGTGGGATATGGATGGATATGGCCTTGGGGGTTACTATGCTTTCACTGTAACAAAATTGAGTTTATAGGATGCCAACAATGTCTAAGGGGCTGTTTACCAAACGCTTACCCGAGTAAGTGCATACCAAGTCACATTACCTTATCGAATGAATATAATAAGGACCAAGAATCTTACCCGGTAAGAGCGAGACAAAGACCAAGAGTCTTACCCGGTAAGTGAGGGCGACGACTCTTACCACGGTAAGCGCTTATCGAGTAAATTGTTGTATACGATATCGTTTTGGTGGACTAAAATCTTGCCCGATAAGTAATTGATAGTGTTAAATTTTACTGGTAAACACTTATTGGATAAGTGTTTGGTAAACGGTCCCTAAGTGTCCTAATTCGCTTTAATGAAATATGGTCTTGAGTTTAAAGGATAAAAAAAATAAAGCATTCTATCTCTAATAAGTTTATAGGACGTTTTTGGGTGTCTTAATAAGTTTTTAGAACATTGTAAAACAAAACGTCATATTAGCTATGACACTTTTGAAAAGTGTTCTATAAACACATCTTTTTATAAGACACTTGTGTTTATAGAACATCTTTTCAAATAGTATCCTATAAAATAGCTAATACAACACTTTATTTCAACAATGTTCTAAAAACTTGTTACAATATGCAAAAGCGTTCTTATAAGCTTATTGTAACACTTTTTGATAGGAAGCTTTATCTTTTGGTTCTATAAACGTAAGTCATACAAGATACTCTATTAGAACACTTAAAACATTTTAAGGTGTCTATAAACTTAATAGATATGAGACATAATGGATGGCATCTGAAAGTAGCTGAACTGAATAAGATGAAATTCTTTTAACGACATTGCAAAAGGATGAAAAAACGCAGAAAAAGAGGAAAAGTGCAATATGCATTGAAAACAACGTTCAATTTGTTTTGGAATCATATCCTTCATTATTAGATGATGAAGATTCACATGTGAATATTTCACAAAAGCAACAACACCTTATGCTTGGTTAAGATGAAGATTCACATGTGAATGTTGCACAAAAGTTGCACAAAAGTTGCACAAAAGCAACAACACCTTATGCTTGGTGAAGATGAAGATTCACATGTGAATGTTGCACAAAAGCAACAGCACCTTATGCTTGGTGAAGANAAAGCAACAGCACCTTATGCTTGGTGAAGATGAAGATTCACATGTGAATGTTGCACAAAAGCAACAACACCTTATGCTTGGTGAAGATGAAGATTTTCACAGCCAAATATTGTGAAAAAGCAATGAAAGAGATCGAGGAAGAAGCTACATACGTAATCTTATGCTTGCTTGATGAAGATATAGAGAAAAAATGTTGCATGAAAGCAACAAAAATTCGAAGAAGAAGCCGCATAAGAGAATACACTACAATACAAATGGGCTTCACCGACGGATTTTTCTGTAGGAAATTTGATCATCGGTGAATTACCAACGGATTTTTCAGCTTATGCAAAACCAACCCGGGGGCATATCAAACAATTAAAAGAAGTACATGGAAAGCTAATAAATAGAGAACTCACTATCCAACAGACTCAACAAGACTCATCCTTTCTTGCCACAACCTATGTGACTTCTACTCGACCTCAAAATCGCAACTCAGACAGTACCATTGCTCCATCTATTTCTTCAACCACACCATGTCCCTTGTCCTCATCAACACCTGCTACCTCGCTACATCCCACTCACACCATGACCACTAGGCTTCTAAATAATATTCGAAAGCCTATTAACAAACTCAACCTTCTTGCCACTGGAACCAAAACTGAGCCCAAAACCATTGCTTACGCTCTTAAAATCCTGGTTTAGAGGAAAGCTATGGATGAGGAGTTTAAATCTCTCATTCGAAACATAATTTGGACTCTTATACCACCATCCTCATCAAAAAATGTGGTTGGGTGCAAATGGGTATTTCGTGTTAAACGTCATTCTAGCAGTACCATTATGCAATACAAAGCATGCCTTATGGCAAAGGGTTTTCATCAACGACTAGATCTCGACTATAACGAAACCTTCAGTCCCCTCGTAAAGCCGACCACTGTTCGCCTAATATTATCTCTTGCGGTGAGTGAAGGTTGGTCTTTGCACCAACTTGGCATTAATAATGCTTTTTTTTGCAGGGTACCCTTATAGATGAACTACACACAATACAACCTCTAGGTTATAGTGATGCCAAAAACCCCACTTATTCGTACAAACTAAATAAAGCATTGTACGATCTCAAACAAGCTCCAAGGGCGTGATATAAGGAGCTTTGACAATTTCTAATTGATTTCGACTTCAACAATGCAATCTTAGATTCCTCGTTATTTTATCTACACTCTAATGGATCAATAATCTACTTGTAGGTCTACGTGGCTGACATTATTGTCACTAGCAATATGCCAAACAATCTTGAAGATTTCTTCACCAACATATCGACATGGTTCTCTCTCAAGGGCTTAGGTGAACTTTCCTATTTTCTAGGGGTTAAGGTTCTTCCTCATCCCGATGGATTATTCTTAAGCCAAAGAAGTACATTTCTGATCTTTTATGCAAGGCAAACATGGATGATGCAAAACCCGTTGCCATGCCTCTTGCAACTCATCCACCATTAGCATTGCAAGGCAAAATGCTTCAAGACCCTACACACTATCATACTTTAATTACCAGTGTTGATCCCGAATGGGATCACAATAAATAGAAAGTAATTGTAGAAGGGGGTTGAATACAATTACAAAGACTTTTTTCAACTTTTTAATTTTTATTGATGTATATCAAAATTAACAAACAAAGATACAACATAGATTGTTGCGGAAGAAGGAAAAAATAACCTAACCTAAACAATATTAGATAGAGAAGAACTTATAAGAACAATATAGAGAGTACTTGCAACGAAATGAAGAACACACTAAGTTTTCTTCACACACAAAAGAATTGGGGAGTAGTAGAAGAGAGCCCATTGCCTTGAGAATGCATTTAGAAATTCTTTCAAGGAAGTGTTGTTTGCATGGGAGATGCATATTGTCTTTTATACTACCTTCATGCATTAAAAGCATGGGGATGCTTGTCACCTAAGGATAAGAAGGCAGATGTTGACTTGATCATTGTTGATGTCTCATTTTCATCGTACACCGCCTGCGTACAACACTATTTATTCAGAGACAAACTTTTGCAGAGATATGGTCAGTCTGTAAGGAGATCTTCTTTGGATGGATTAGTAGCTTCAAACAGCTACTTACAAATCTTCGGTGCATGAAGAGCTTCCTTCAATTGGCTAGTAGCTTCAAAACATCTTCAATCTTCAAATCAGATACTCTGGAGTCTCAGTGTGTAATTTAGACAGTTGATTCATAATACCGCATCGGTGACCTTCTGTCTTCATATCAGCTAGTCTTCGATTTTGCCAATAGCTTTAAGTATGTTTGATATATGTTGATAATTCAATATATAAAGCACTCATTTTACTTATTCTTAGTTAGATTATTTTTTTATCCCTACTTTGAGTCATTTTTATTACTTTATTTGTATCTTTGTCATTATTGAGCTAAATCATGTGGTTAACTTGTTGGTATTCAAAGGAGGAAGCTAATGGAACTCTTTGCTTAACAGTTTGGTGCTACAACATTGAAGTAGCAATGATCTGATACATGCGCAACTTTTTGAAGATCTTATTGATTAAGCTGCTGCCTTTTTGTGCTTGGTGGAAGACAGCTGGAGTTGCTGACTTTTGGTTAAAAATATGTGATTATAACATTTGTTAGGATTATTGTAATTAAGGTTAATACCCGAAAGACTGT